ACATTATAATTGTTTTTCTGATTTTAATTTTCAAACCTGCAACTAAATCAATTTGTTATTTCTATAACTATTGAAAGATTTCGGTTGTGAAAAAAAACAATAAAATTTCTCGCACACAGTAAGATTTGCCCGAACAATACGCAACAACTCTTTACTTTGCTAATGTATCGTTACTTTGCTAATTTATTGCCTTTTTTTTCCTATTAGTTTAAATGTGTTAACGTTTTGTTAGACAACCCATACAAATTTTGCTTCAAAGAAGCATTTCAAACACTTGAGTCTATGAATCTTGCCGTTCTCCTCAGTTGTCTCTTACCTTTCAAGTTTTCGTGTTTTCACTAATACTCGATTTTCAGTACTTTTTCATGTTTTACTTTCAGAATTTCTTTATTTCCACAGTTGACGCATTCTTTACCTTCAAATTTTTGAATTTCTTTATTTCTTTATTTTTATTTTTTTCAAACATTCTTTGTTATTCAGTTGTAATTTTTATTTCTCTTACATTTTTGTAACTATTTTTATTTTTCTAATTATTAATTTTTCTTAACTCTATTTGTTATTCCCCTTTTTTTTGTCTCTTTCTACAAAAAATATATAACTTTTTATATTTCTACGAAACCGCTAATGACATCTTTGTAACTTTGATTTCCTCTTTAAAACATAGATGACTTTTCACTTAATATTTTCTTTAGTAATTCCTTATTTCGACAGTTTTCTTTAACATCCAAATCCACGTAATAGCCGTTTTAGTAATTCCTTATTTCGACAGTTCTCACGCCCTCTCCCCACGTTGTAGCCGTTTTTCTCCACTTCTCCGTTCTTCTCTCGCTTTCTTAATCATCTAAAACTTCATAATCTTTGTTTCTCCCCCATTCCAGTATTCATCTTCATAATCACACGGCTTCATGAAAGGTGACCTATTTTGCAATTTGTACTCTCTTTAGAATGTTTTAGTTTTGTTCTTTATCATCCGGTCGCCCCTTCTGCACAACTCTTTTTTTTTTTTTTTAATACATTGGTTCAATCTTTTCAGTGAAGATGTCGTTAGAAAAAAATGTAAATAAATCTGATTTTCATTCGGGCAGATTTTTTGACACCGTTTACTGTTTGCTTAGAATATTTCAATTTTATTTTTTTCATAATCCTACGGCTTCTTCTTTTGGTAAATACTGTCTTTCGATGTTTAAGAAAAACATGAAGTTGTTTGACAAAAATATAAATAAGTTGTACCAAAAGATTTTGCAAAACTGATTTATGTTTATAATATGCTACTTTTTGTCCGACAACTTCTTAGACAACTAATTTTCGTTTTGGTTTAATTGTTTTGGCAAAAGTTGAAGGATCGATGTAAATAAGTTATAATCTTTTCACTGGCAGATGTTTTGTCAAAATTTTACACGATTTTATGTTTTATCAAAAGATTTTGCAAAATTAATTTTTGTTTAGAATGTTCACTACTAGAAAATCGCCGATTAGCGACGGACATTGGCAACGTATAACTGATTCGTTGCTACGGTAAAGATTTAGCAATAGCATTAGTGACGGAAGATGAAATCGTCCCTTTGGTGGTGTTACTCTGCTTTTAGCGACGAATGTTTGCGACAACTGATAAGTTTGTTTCAAAAATAATGTTCCAGCAACAAATATAGCGATAACAAATAGAGTCGTTGCAAGTGTAGGTAAGTAGCAACGAACCCTAGCGACGAATATTAAGTCTATTTCTAAAATAAATTTGTAGCAACATATGTTGCGACGACTACATATTTGTTGCTAGGAAAATTGTGTGGCAACGGATTTGAGCAAGGGATAACAAATTCGTTTCTAATTTGAGCGACAAATTTAGTGACGGCAACTATAATCGTCCCTTGGGTTTAGAACAATCAGTAAGTGCTACGGATTTTAGCAACGAAAACTATATCCGTATCTAAGATAAATAATTTGCGAAACTGTAGTGACGGATATTAGCAATGACTAACAAATCCATTTCAAAAGTACATTATTATATTATTATTATTATTATTATTATTATTATTATTATTATTATTATTATTATTATTATTATTATTATTATTATTATTATTATTATTATTATTATTATTATTATTATTATTATTATTATTATTATTATTATTATTATTATTATTCCTAAAAAAATAACTTCATATTAACATAAATGTATTTTAAAGTTTTAGTATATTAAAAGTGATACATGCGTGTATGTATGAATCACTTTTATTTACTTTTCTGCCATTAATTAATTATTGTGGTAAAAGGAAAAAGTAATCCTAATTAAAAGAAACATAAAACCCTTTCTATACAATTTGTGAGAACTACTTTGAGAAATTGAGAGGGCAGGGACGGTTCAACTGCACGCCTCGCAATGGCCACCACCGCGGCGCCACGACTGACCACCACCGCAGCACCACGAAAGCCACCACCACCTACGCGACGAGCAAATCCCCACTGCCGGCCCCGCAACTAGCCGCCACCGCGCACGGTACCACGACCAGCCACCGCCGCGGCGCCACGAGAAGCCACCGCCACGAACGACGCCTCTCTTGGGTAAGTCTGACTCCCCCCCTTTTAATTTTTGTTTGTATTGAAAAAATATTGATTAGAAACTACTTTCTATGATTTTTTGATGAACTGAAATTATGATTTTTTTATGAACTGAAATTTTTTGTATGTGAAATAGATGCTTCAATTAATTCTTTTACCTATTAATTGTGCGAATTTGATATTGCCCAGACATAAAAAAAAATTGTTTGCCAATGACACTTTTCCCATCTTTATATTTGTTCACTTACAATCTCAAAAATTAAACTTTAATGGCCTCTGTTTCTTATTTAGTTGGATTGATAGGGTAAATTTACTTTCTTGTTTCATGCCTTCATATTTGGTGAAAAACATGGGGGGTAATTGGTATTTTGCATCCTCGAATTACATGCATTTGGCACTTTGGACCCTTCAATTGAAACAGTAGCAATTTGCACCCTCTAATTACAACTTGCTTGACATTTTGCACCCTGCTACATATTTGGTTGGAAAAATGACCTGCAACCGGTTCTAACAGTTTCCTCACCATCTTTCCCGTTGAATTCTCTTCCACCAGTGTTCCAAACATCTTTTCAAGACCCTTTTAACTTTTCCTCCTCCGCATGGCTGCATCCTCAACCGCCATCGTCGGATGCTCCAAAATCCTCAACTTCCTTATACCTCTCCAGTCTCTTATAACCAAGACGGCTGCTGCTTAGATTATGACATGTTTCACAAATCCATATGCCTGAACACTTTATGTTTTTCTTTTTATTTGTTTCTTTGTTTGTTTTTTTAGAAAAATGCCACGATGAGGAGGTGTTAGACGAGCGAGCCGTGAGAATTCATCACAACCACAACCACAAACACCTCTATCAAAGCAAGGGGAAGTTAGAGATTCACAATCAAGTCTTGCATCACAACAAAGAATCTCGAGCAACCGAATATTGCTGAAAGTGGATAGAGACAGGTAAATTTATTTAATATTTGAAACATATATTATTGTGAAAGAATATTAATTATAGTTTATTGAACAGTTTTAATCCTTCGAATGCTTCGAGAAATTTGGTTATAATATTCAAGAAATCATTTAGCGGTCTATGGCCTACATGGAACAGTGTCCCAAATCATGTCAGAGATAGTTGGTTTGGAGAATTTCAGGTATTATATTTTTAATTAACTAATATTTATTTATTTATTTATTTATTTATTTTTTTATTTCTTTGTAATGGATTAATGCAATCTCCTGTTTGTTTCTTCTATGAATAGTATAATTAATTATTTGCTGTCTTTTGTTTACCTTTTTGCTACACGTAAGCTGGTAGAAACTTAGAGTCTGGTAGAAAAATGTTTGCAACTTTATTAATCTGCCCTCTCATTATTATTAGGTGAGGATGTTCATGATGGATTGATTAACTTGCTTTCTCAAACTATTCGTTTTATCACTGCTCTTATTGTATTATGAGTCAGTCTAGACAAGTGTGTGCGTAGTATTCTGGAGTATATATTCCTATGAAATGCAATTATCTTGATATATTTGCTACTTAATTATGTAGCTCATTTTTTTTTAATTTGTATGGTTTGCTAAAGTGTTATTTTTATTGAATATTTACAGAAGATGTATAATTGGGCAGAGGATAATCATTTGACAGTAAGAAGACATTTCGAACGCAAAAGAAGTACCAGTTTGAGGAATTCTTAGAACAAAGCTAAAAAGCGATATATTGAGACAAATATAATACCCAACTGGATCAATCGGAATCATTGGCAGGAATTGATGGCTTATTGGAATACTGACAAATTTATAAAATAAATCTGAAATTAATTCCAATAACAGAAAATCAAGTATAAATGATCAAGGCACATCTTTGCACATAGGAGGATCAATTCTTATTTCGGAATATAAAAGCAGATATGTAAGTATTAATTTTGTACTTTATTCTTGATAATTGAATTATTTAATCTTCAATTAACTATTTGCTCGTTTCTTTAGGTTAAAGAGAAAGGGAGAGAGCCTACTGCCTCATAGTTATTTTTGATGACTCATTAGACAAAAGGAAATAATGATTGGATTGATCGTAAATCAAAGTGTGTATGGGTATGATTCTAATTTTATATTTTATTTCAATCACATAATGTTTAACAGCTGCTGTTAAAATCCATTTTAAATTTAGAAGGACTGATGTTTAATATTCATCTTTAGTTGCTTGAATATGCTCCTTTGAACTGTACTGATAATGCACTTATGAACTGCTTGAATATGCTCCTTTGAGGTATTGATTTTTAGTGAAATATATATGATTCTTCTAATTGAAATACATCTGATGTTGCTAATTTTCTATTACTCTATATTTTGGATTAATTTATTATCAATTTTATCGTATCAGGATAAATTTTCGACAATCATCAAGCGAAGGCGTTTAGATAACAATGACGATGGAGAAGGAAATGAGGATACAACAATAAACGACGACGAGGAAGAAGATTATGCTAATGGAGATGAGGCCTTCATGGAAATGGTGCATGCTCTACCTAAAGAAGTTGTTGATAATGCTTGGCTCGAGGCAACTGGATGACCAATTAAAGGAAGAGTTAATGGTCTCGGATCAGAGTCTGCTAATTTTATACATCATGTTAACTTTATTTCTAATGCTTCAACGAGTTCTTCATCAACACCACGAACGTCTTCTCAAAACATGGTTGATAGTCCTACTTTCGAAGAAGTTGTTAATCGATTGGTGGAGCAAAAGATTACAGATATGCGTGCATCTTTTGAAGAGCAACTACAAGCCGGTATCCAAGCTGCCATTCAGGCCGTGCACCAAAGTGAACCAAGAGGATCTACTAGAGATACACGGTCAGCAACATAGTTATGGGATAAGATTAAAATTAATATTTTTAGAAGAACGTTATTTTTTTCTAGAACCTGATGTTGGACATTCTATTGATATTGTTTAGCTTAAAATATTTTTTGCTAACTAGTTTTCAGTCTTGCACTTTAGTATTGTATCAAATGTTTATTTTATGAGCATATTTGGATGTTTTGTTTTTGGTAAATTATATATCTGGACAGGTTTTAATAATTGGTAAAATGATTTGGCTACAGCTTTAGCAACGAATAATTCTAATAATGGTTGTATAAAGTTACTTTTGGCGATGAAATTAGAAATGAAATTTGTGACGGATTTTATGTATTTCGTGATAGAATATTGCAATGGACTTAGCTATAGATTAACGACGGAATATTTGCAACGTACGTAGCTACGGATTTGGCAGCAACACATTTTCGACGCACTTAGCAACATAATTAGCTACGGATATTAGAAACGAAAAAAATCAACATTAGTGATGGATGTGTTCGTTGCTAGTATAGCGACAGATTTTGGCGACGAACGATATTCATTTCTACCATAGCAACGATAATTAGCGAGAACTTTAGCCACATCCATTAGCAACATACACGTTTCGTATTAGCGACAGAATAGTCTGTGACAAACGTAGCGACGGAGTGTAGCGACGATCATTATCTGTTGCCACGTGTAGCGACGGCATTTCATCAAGTCGCAGCTAAAATTTAGCGACGCGGCTTTTTTCTACGGAATTGGCAACGCATGACATCTGTCGCTAATCACGAGTTAGCGACGGATTCACATTGTTTAGCGATGGATGGTGCCGTAGCTAATAGGCGATTTTCTAGTAGTGAATTTGGGACAAAAAAAATCTCCAAAGAGATAAATTATTTATGACAGAAGAATTAAATTACTACATATTCTATATTAGTGAACATTAAAATAAATTATTTTAATCGGGGTTTTTTTTTCTTTTGAAAAATTGATTAGTTTTTTTTTATTTAACTTTTCTTCATTGTGATTATTGGGCTAGATAAGATTTGTCAATTTTATTGCAAAACTTGCATCGAAATCGAAATTAGTTTTTTACTTTTGTGAAAAAAAATTATTATTATTTTTTTGATATAAGAAACTAATTTTGACATGGTCGTAGAATTTTACCTATAGTTAAAAAAATCAACCTTGATAGAAATATTTTGTAGACAAAGAGATGGAGCATGGTTACAGAACTAATTACCTTCAATTTTTCCCTTAGGAGTTTTAACTTTGATTGTGACAAGCTCTTTCTCCTGTAAAACGTTTGATAAATAAATTAATATTGGGAGTGAAATTTCATTTTAATTGTTCTTGATGATGGGCTCAAACTTAAAGACCCAAAACAATATACAGTTGAACATCGATAAATTAATACTCGACAAAATTAATATTCTCGTTTAAAGAATAATTCTTCTGGTCCCGACTCGGTAGAAACATACTAAATTATTAGTTCAATACTTTAATATTTCACTAAATTAATAGGATTTTGCTAGTCCCTAAACTATATTAATTTATAGAGGTTTAACTGTAATGAACTCTAACATGATGGTTTGTGTTTCAAGCCCATCTAGATTCATCTACTTGCACTATAAATAGTCTTGTTTTGTATTTATGGAAAGTCTGCAGAAAATTAGAGAGAAAATCGAGAGAGATGTGCAGCTGCGAGGGATACTAGAAAACATTTTGCGATTTTCTTGCAGTATTTGAATAAATACTTGGCTGTCACCCGTGGATGTAGTTCTTGTGTTATCTTTTTGCTTCCACATTGTGCAACAATTCAAGTATGTCGAAGTTAATCGTTTAGGCTTTTAAGGAGTTATTTTCTATATACTATCAAAAGAGAATTCTGATCTTCTAGGTTTGATGCAGATACACGCTGACTATATTCTATAAGTAGCACTAGTAGGAAAATGACTTTTTACTACGACCATTATTCGTAGCAAAATGCATCAAATTGGTAGTAAAAAAGCTTTTACTACGTATTTGCTACGACTTTGCCCAGTAATATATACTGGCTTGGCAAAAACTTTGCTACGGTAAATGGCCGTAGTAAATACTTTTTTGCTACGGTAAATCCTAGCATTTACTACGACTTCAAGATTGTCCAGTAAAAAAATGTACCTTTTGTTATGGCTTTTTACCATAGCAAAACAATTCGTACTAAAAAAATATTTTTCTATTAGTGTAGTTAGCAAGTATTGGTACGAAAGAGTACATGTATATATGAAATGCTACTACACGTTTGTCTTGGGAGAGAAAAAATGACCGAATATTGATTTTCCTTCTTCCCTCTCAGACTCAGTTCTTGATTTTAAATTAATGGGATCTTTTTAGATATCAACCAACTTTGATAAAGAGATTATTAACACGTGACATACAATAGAAGATTGAGAGGTTTTGGAGTATTTCAACAACTTCTTGAAGAATATTGAAGATCCGTTTGTTGCCCTCCCGATTCCCGAATCCAACACTATGAGATATTTTAGATCCCGATGACCAGTGTTAGGATCGACTGTGAATAGCAAATTTCAATCTAATTTATCTTTGAGTTTCGGGGTTCGATTATAATTTATTTGACATTGGTTCAAGAGTAGGAAATGAATTTCAAATAAGCCACTCCGAGTGTTGATCAAACCATAAGAAATGTTTGTATAATTTTTCAAAAGCGATATAAGATTAGTTAAATCAATACTCACCTTGAATTTGGTCCTCATTCCAGATGGCCATGAATCGGTCGCGGACGAACCAAAACTCGGGCATCTTGGACCTGACAACTTTAGAACGAAAAATAGAGTGAGTCGATTTTTGTGTTTTTTGTTATTTCTTGAAAGTTATTTTTTCGGTGTAAAATATAACCACCTCGTCAGGTCTCATATCGCATCCATTGAGAATTTGGGGAGATCCAATGGAAGATTCCTGTCAATAGTCATTATTAACCTCTTACAATAAACTATAAAAGCTTCTCCGGCGATGGAAATAAACTATAAAAGGTTCCTGTCAATAGTCATTATTAACCTCTTACAATCAATAGATGTATAATAGCTAGTTTATATAAAGGCAAAATTAACAAAAAGTCCTCAAATATTGACAATAACTAACAATAAGGACAAGTGCATTTTTTGTTTAGGTAATTACATTTTTGGCCTCTATATTTTATAGGAGAATCAATCTTAGTCCTATATTTTTCCCCATGAAATTAGACAGTATTCAAACCAACCATTTTTTTACACTTTTGGCCTGCCGTTTCATTTTGCTGTTAATATGGATGGAAAGTGGCATGCGGGCTGCACGTATACTAAATAGATGAAAAAAATTTGGAGGGTACTTAGTTTGTAGAAAATGAAAAGTGGAGGGGTATAATCGAAATCAAAATAAAAGTGATTTAATTTTTATGTCTAATGAAAATTAGTCTCAAGATACTTTCCTGTAATTGCCCCTAAGGTAATTATAATTTATATGTTACTAGATATTAAATTAGATGAATTAAAAATGTTTTAAATATTATATATTTCGAGAAAATATAAAACTGGTTTACTAAATCATAAAAAAATATTTGTGAATTGAATGAAATAATGCAAATTATACCTATTTATTTCTCATACAATTTATCATGTTTATAAATATTATAAATGATTTTACTTTCTTTACATATTTCATAATAATTGTGATATATTTTGTAACTATACCAATTTAATAAAATTATATAATTTTAAAACAAATTATTGTCCACCTTTCATTTTAAAAATTGCCTATAATTTTTCATAGGGAAAATTATATTTTTCATCTTTCAAGTTTGCACTGATTTCACATTTTGTCCCCCTATGTTTATAAAAAACACATTTGGTCCGTCGTGTTTCAATAATTAAACGCTTTTGGTCATTTCCATCAATTTACCGTTAGTCTGTCAGCAGGGGCGGACTCAGGGGTTGAGGGTGGGGGGGCTAGAAATATTTTTAGGGGCTTCAAGTGTATAAAATTCAAACTTTGGGGGGCTAAAGTACATAAACTAATAGATAAATAATGCAATTTAAAAAAAAAAAAAAAAACTGGTGAATTTGTTTTTTTCTGCAGCCCCTCCCCGTCTGTCAGTTAAGTTATTGATGGGCACCCGCTTGATTCCGTTAATTTTGACGTAAAATTGATCGAAAAGACTAAAAGTGTTGAATTTTTGAAACATAGGGACCAAATGTGAAATCAGTGCTAATGTGAGGAACGAAAATTGTATTTTTCCCATGTTTCATATATATATATATATATATATATATATATATATATATATATATATATATATATATATATATATATATATATATATACTTTTAGTTGATTTTATAAAAGAAGTTTTGTAGTAATTTAATTTCAAAACAAACAAAATACCAAAATACCACCGCTTGCCCAGAGAGTCTATTGGATGGAGAAAGTAGTATTAGGGTGAAGAAGTAAATTAAAAAAGAAGACTTACTTGTCTGATGCCTGCGGCAACTGGAGAAACATCTGGTGGATCCATTCAATTCAACAAATATAATTTATTAATTAATATGTATCACATGAACGAATTTTATATATAATTGAAGGTTGCTATTTATATCATGAAATTAAGTTGAATGCCATGTGAAGATTTTGAATTTATTTGGAATATTTCTAGTCGGTAGGTACTGTATAGTGTATACTGTAGAGTCTTCGACAACCGCGTGAGATAATTCAAGCTCTTTCAATAGACAGCTTTGCATTTTCCTTAGTGGGACCCCTTTTTTAATCATTATTCTTTTTTTCTTTTTTTTTTTTTGAGGAATTTTTTTTAGTCATTATTCTCACACATGAAGTTGTTAACATTTAGGTAGAAAGAAGCCAATAGTGGCCTACTTATTTATATTTATGAAGGTTTTTTTTTTCTTTAATGAATAAATTCCTAACCAACATCTTTATTATTTTAGGTTTGAGGTTATATTTCTCATTCTTTTAATATATATTATAAATAAAGGTAAAATTAATGTATATAATAATAAAATTATCCCCAACTCTTTAATTTTAATTCCTAATTGTAACCACAGTTTAATTTCAATTTAATCAATTTTGGCCACAAAAATCTAATTTTGACTTTTTCTCTTCCTTTTTTGCCGCCGAATTCCGGTTTTCGACGTTGACTTATTTTAATTTAAATGTATTAATATAAGATGATAAACACAGTCTAAATATTACTTGCTGCAAATTTTATTTTTTGTGTGTGGGGGGACATTTTTTGAATGAAAATTATAAATGATGTAAAACAAAGGTTTAGTTGGACTTGACATTTTTTTCTAGTAAGTTTTGTCACCACGGACCTATATCTTAAGGCCCCAAACAAATGTCACTTTTAAGTTTAGCTTGATACTTCATTTTGTTTCTCCATTGAAGGTGCTCTAAGGGTGGACATATAAGAAGATTCATAGTTGAGGGAGTGGTTTTAATTAGGGCTGGGACTTTGTTGGTTTTTATCCACCAACCGATCTAGTACGGACCAAATTTTTAGGCGGATAATAATTTTTTATTCGACCCATTGGATCTGATAAAATTTCAACCAACCCATCTATAATGGGTCGGTTTGTGGTTTCTAATATTATCAAGAGTTGGTTGACCAATAATTATCGGTCAACCAACTATATTATTATAATTTTATTAAAAATATAAAATAAAGAGTGTGTTTTCTTAATTAATTTGAATTTCTTAATTACATTTTTCGGGTTAAATTGTCTTTAATTATTTTGAACTAATAAATGATGATCGCGCAGTGACTTTATATAGAATGTGCATTTTTACTACGAAATTTGAATTTTTTTTAGTGAACTATGTGGCGAGTATAACCCATCAACTCGACCCATTCCGCAACCAAATATTTAGTTGCCAACCATCAACCGACCCACACAGGTTGGGTCGGCAGCTGTTTTCAGATTTGAGCAAAAATAGTTTGTAGGATGAGTCGGTTTTTAGACTGGTAATCGACCGACCCAACTCAACCCAATCCCAACCCTAGTTTTAATTAACCAAACATGAGGAATTTTTTTTGTAATTTGACCTTACCTCGGAGTGACCGTAAGTTACCCTAATTTTGTTTTACTTAAAAGAAAAAGAAAGGGGGCACAGTGAAATTGTGTTAGAGTACAAAAGCATTAAATAAAATTTAGAAAATTAAAAATCTAAACAAAAATATTGATCTACTGTATATTTGACTTTTCTCACGCGGTTGTCCAATGAAAACGACAAAAAAAGAAAAAAAAAATTAAAAAAAAAATAGGAAAGAGCCGTCTCCCTACTGGCCATTGACCATTCAATTGAAGTCATGATTCATGAAGGTTCATCAGATTTCAGTATTTCTTTTGCCATTTTCAGTTTAACTTTATTTATATATATATATATATATATATATATATATATATATATATATATATATATATATATATATATATCTTATTATTTCTTGAAGCATATATAATGGAAGATGTACAATAGTTTGCTTTGGATTATTTATGATCAACGGCCGCCGGAATAGTGCTCCAAAGGTCAGCAACCTCTTTTCAGTTACAACCTAACAAGTTTGCATTTATCTTCTCTTTATTTTCACCACTAATTTAGGAGATATATATCTTGCCCGAAATTAGTATAGCTTTGAAGAAATTATTTCAAATGATTTAGGAAATTTACTTTTTTTTTTTCTTTTCTTTTCCTTTTCATATTCTAGTTAGTTAGTTATTAAGTTATGGGGTACGTGCATTTTTAATGCATACCCAATTAATTTATACTAATACTTTTCCAATTTCAGTAAATATGGGATCGAACGATGTCATACAGGCATGCACTCGTAACCTGAGTCAAAAGCTCACTCAGCTGACCATGTCACAATCGCAATGTACTATCTATAGAGTACATAAACATTTACGAAATGTCAATATGAAGGCTTATGAGCCCGAAGTTGTCTCAATTGGTCCTTATCACCGTGACAAAGATAACCTAACGATGATGGAAGATAAGAAATTGTGTTATTTGCATTTACTGCTTCAACGCAAAAATGAAAGTATTGAAAACTACGTCGCAGCTATCGAACCATTCGAATTTGAAGCACGCAAGTGTTATGCAGAGCCTATTAGCCTTAATGCAGTTGAGTTCATTGAAATGCTTGTTTTAGATGGTTGCTTCATCATTGATTTGGTGAGGAAATGTAATATGATATACTTGAGAGAAAAGAATGATTCTATCTTTCTTATGGATTGGATCATCAATAGCTTGCAACGTGATCTTATGTTGTTCGAAAATCAAGTCCCGTTTTTTATTCTATGCAAGTTGTTTGACTTGATTGAGGTCCCAAATCAACATAGTAGGTTGATATACCTTTTGTTGAATTTTTTCAATAGTCTCTTCCCTGGAAAAGTATATCGAGACAGTAAAGATAGAAGTTCAGCTGAAGTAATTAAACATTTACTTGACTTGATACATAGTAACTGGCATCCTTCTTTTGATTGGTTGGATTTTGAAAAAAACAAAAAGAGCGAAAAGAAGAGATGGAGGTTTGTCAATAATGCAACCGAGCTCAGAGAAACTAATGTAAAGTTTAAACGAATCGAAGGAATTTCATTGTTCGATATAAGATTCCAAGATGGAAATATGCTTTTGGCTCCATTGACTATTGAAGACAGGACGGAGTCTTTATTTCGGAATCTCATGGCATATGAACAATATTTTGGAGACAGTCAAATTAGTTATGTAACAGATTATGTGAAATTCTTGGATTGCCTTATTGATTCATCGAGAGATGTTTCTATACTTTCGTGGCACGGGATTATTGATAATTGGTTAGGTGATGATGAAGTTGTTGCGAATATGTTCAATAAACTCACTGATTCGATTGCTGGTCCTGGAATTCGTTTTGTTTATGCGGATGTTTTCGAAGATGTGAATAAGCATTGCAATAGACGTAGAAACAAATGGATGGCCAAGTTAAGAAGAAACTATATGAATAGTCCTTGGGCAGTTATTTCTATTCTCTTTGCTGTGGTACTGCTTCTACTCACGGTAGCACAAACTGTATGTTCTATTTTACAGGTAGTGTGAGCTATTTTATATACAGTCTAACGAATGTTTGTATGTCATATGAGTTACGTAATAATGCATACGCTAATGTTGTCATTACGTCGTGAAAACGAATAGAAATAGATACTCTTTTACGGGCACGAAGAACGATGATGTACTAGTTTAATTATTTTTTTGCCTATAACCTTATTGTATATGTAACATGGATTTCTTTCAAGACAGGAGTACGTACTAAGATATTCGTGATGACATATGACGAAGGTATGAATATGAAAGAAAAAAAATAAAAAAATTATATTAAGCTAACTATACGTGAACTCCAAACTTAATATCGATCGATGGATTATAAACATAATATATATGGATCTAATAGATAGAAAATACTTCTCTAACCTCGTCGATATAGTATTCATCTTTTTGCTCTATTTACAAAGTATAATTTATTTATAGCTTTTTTTTTTTTTTTTTTTTTTTTTTAATCGTTGTTTAACTTATAACATCAATAAAATGCACTATGCACCAAGGTTTAAAAGTCCTCAAACAAATACATGGGAGAGACAAGCATTTTTCCGACAATTTTCGATTATCTTTGAACAAAGAAGCCCATGGATTTGCACCAGTGTTGTAAATTGGTTCAGACATTTCATCAGTCACCTTGTGTGCATCATTTTGACCTGAAATTTCATGACCTGGTAATCAACTCGAAGTTACATGCGATATGATGGCACCCAGATTCTATTTTATTAGCACTTGAATCAAGCCCAATGTATGAAAATAAATCTGTCAAAGTAATGTGAAAGATACATGCACAGAAGATACATATTTTAAGAAAAGAATACGGGGAGAGAAAAAGCCCATGCCGAAAATCTTCCCAATCGATGAATGCAATTTATACAGAGTGTTTTGATATGTTTGATAATTGGGTAAACAGCATAAAACTCCCCTGCGTTAAAGAAAATTTGTGCCAAATGCCCATGTGTTTTTTTTCTTGCGTAAAACCCCCTTGTATTTCATTTTACTTTGCACGAAATCCCCTTTCCTGTTAAAAGTTAACGTCGTTAACTATAGAGGGGATTTTATGCCATTTTTGCATAACATAGGGGGATTTAGTGCATATTTTATATAATACAAGGGATTTTATCAAAATTAATTTATTCATTTGAAATTTTCACATTATTTTCTTAAATTAAGTCGAAAAAACACACACACACACACACACACATATATATATATATATATATATATATATATATATATATATATATATATATATATATATATATATATATATATATATATATATATATATAGTTGAGTGCAAAACAACTTATATATAATTTATGATATATTCATGTGAGAAATATAAATACTCAAGGCCCAAGTAAACCAAAACACAAAAAATTAGTTGGTGGTATAAGACAATTGCATTTTTTTTTATCAAAAACTATTTAATTTGTTCCATTTTTTTTAATGAAGAAACTCGCAGCCAACTATGTAGGTGTACTATGTAAATCTATACTCTCCTATTTGTTTCATTTTGTTATTATTACATGCAAGTTTAGGGAGAATTACATTTTTGGTCCTTCATGTTTGGCCCGATTCCGCTTTTGGTCCCCTTGTTCAAAAATGAACAAAGTTCACCTTCAAGTTTCAGATTTGAACACTTTTGGTCCCTGCTGTCACATGCCTATTTGCAAGTAACTGGGAAAATTGCATTTTTCGTCCTTATACTTTAGCCACTTTTTCAAAAATGTCCCTAAACATTTTGGAGTTACAATAGTAGTCCTTAATCATGCCATTTTTTGACAGAATTGGTCCGCCGTTAATTTTTGCAGTAAGTTGGATGGAAAACGGCATGTGCCTCTCACATGCCTTCAATTTACAACACTACATGAAAATGGACTTTCAACAAAACGCATTGCGTCTTGTTAAAACATATTTTTTATAATTATCATTTTTAATTAAAATTTAATATAAAATCGAAATCACGTAAATTCCAAAAAAATCAACTTGTTTCGGAAATATTGTTTAAAAAATCAAAATATAGTTTAAAATTTTAAAATATTGTTCCAAAATCGGCATTTTTGGAATTCAATTTAAATGTATCGTTTCAAACCAAAATAAGAACCCAATAGGAATTGGGGAATTAGAAATCTCCATTCCAATTTTCACCTCTAGTCAATTCCAAAAATCCCAATTGCGAGACAATATGTCGAGTTTTAAATCATTCAATATGGGTGAAAATTGGAAAGGAGTTTTCTAATGCTGCCTAGGTTGATCGAATTTTTATTTTATTTTAAAATAATATTTTCATTCAATTTCCAAAAAATCCGATTTTAAAACACAATATTATTTTTTTAGACAGTATTATGATTTTTTAAACAATATTTCTGAATTTCTTTTGAAAAAACATATCGAGTTTTAGATTATTAAATAAGGGTGAAAATTGGAACAGAGTTTTCTTACTCTGCCTATTCCGATCAGATTTTATTTTATTTAAAACAATAATTTTCATTCAGATTCAAGAATCCCGGTTTTAAAACATTATATTATTATTGGTAGAATTTAGCGTCTAGGATTAGGCAGAGTAAATTTTGGAGAATTTGGTTTGATTCTCTAGCCTCCTTGTGTGTGGGATTTGGAGAGAAGGAACGAGGAGGGTTTAGCAAATAATGGGGGGAGAAAATCTGATTTTTTAAATTTAAAACGCCCCAAATAGGTTCGGATGGCCGTCCCGGTGTTTGTGCTAAATGTCGGACGGCCGTCCGACATTATTTTCTCCTTACAGGTCGTGGGACGGCCGTCCCACATTTACACCTATTTTTCAGACGGCCGTCCCATGGGCAGAGATGACAATTTTTTTGTTCTGTTTCCCAGACGGTCGTCCGGGATTTTGCTTGCAATTTCGGACGGCCGTCTCGACCCCCTGACCATATTTTCGACCCTGAAAATTAAAATTCAAATAAATTAATTAGAATGCATGCCTATGACAATAAAAACGAAACGAAAATTTAAAGAAAACTACAAAAAACAATAAAACTCGGGTTGCCTCCCGAGAAGCGCTAAGTTTAAAGTCTTCAGCCGGACGTTGCTTCGTTATTTTCAAGCAAAAGTGGCCGAGGTCACTTGGCATTCTTCACTCGCTTCCCTATAATGTTTGAGCCGGCTCCGCTTCACGTTGAACGTACGATTTGAATCTCGCTCCTTTATTTTGACCACTTCGTGAGGAAGAATCTCTTGGACAATAAATGGTACCGACCACTTTGATTTGCGCCTCCTTGGGAATAACCACAGCCGTGATTTGCACAATAACACCAATTGTCCTTTGTGCAATTTCCTTTTGACTTTCTCCTTACGACCACAATAGCTTGACTCATCCTTCTCTCGTGACTTGCTCGAGTCTTTGGGTGGCAACATCTTCCTTGCACTCTCATCGCCATTAAGACTCAAACTCATATGACTTTCTCTTGGAGGAGTTAAAATTGAGTCCATGAAGTAAAGTTGCTCTGTCCGATTCCCGTTTCTGCCATCATCTCCTACACTCAAATATACTTTCCCATTGTCCAAGTTCAAAACATCAAATTTTTCATGAGATGTAAAATCCATAAGTTCAATAGCAAAACAATCATTATTATCACATGGTTTTTTATTAGCACTAAAAACATTGAATTTGATTGTTTGATCATGAATAGTCATTGTAAGATCACCACTAGCACAATCAATTAGCGTTTTCGACGTGGCTAAAAAAGGTCTCCCTACGATAAGAGGTATTTCCCTATCCTCATCTATATCAAGTATAACGAAATCGACAGGGAAGATAAATTTATTGACTTTCACTAGCACATTCTCTAAAATACCTTTTGGGTAAACTAAAGATCTATCGGCTAATTGAAGAGTTATAGCCGTCGGTTCAATTTCTCCTAACCCAAGATTTTTAAAAGTAGAGTACGGCATAAGATTAATGCTAGCGCCTAAATCAATGAGCGATCTAAATTTTTTACCTCCTATAGTACAAGGAATAGTAAACTTACCTGGATCGCCGAGTTTTTGTGGAAGAGGCCGAGTAAGAATTGCACTAATTTGCTCCGTGAGTTGGATCATCTCGTTCCCTTGCAATTTCTTACTTTTCTTCACGAGGTCCTTGAGGAACTTCACCCACTTTGGCATCTTTTGAAGTGCTTCAATGAAAGGAATATTTATGCGAATTTCCTTCAACTTGTCCAAAAATCTTTGATATTCTGCATCGAGACTCTTCTTTATAAACTTTTGAGGATAAGGAATTGGAGGGACTTGTGAAGGTACCGTTGATAGTGGCTCTTCATGAGTTGATTCTTTTTCCTCATTCACTTTCGGCTTCTCGATTACCGTGTTTCTCTTCTCTTTTCGTGGGGCTTCCTCCAATTGCTTACCATTCTTCAAGGTGACTGCTTGGCACGTCTCGACCTCGATCTTTTTCGTTAGCAATCTTTGTGGATATGGGATAGGCTCGACCCATTCGGCTACAGTCACTTGCGGCTTGACTTGAATTTCTTCATTTTTCTCGATCTTGAAATCGATAGCTTGGCACGTCTCGAACTTTTGCTTTCGAGGATCTTTCGTATTGATGGCAATGCTCCTGCCGGACGTTTCTCTTGATTCACAACGAATTGAGCAAATTGATTCTCCAAATTCCGCAGCGAGGCTTGGGTAGCGGTCATGAATTGGGCCAATATCTCATCCATGTTTGATTTTTGGGCCCGTGGATTGTTGCCTTGATAGCTTTGTTGAGGAGGGGCTTGATTTTGAAATTGACCTTGAGGTCTTTGATACCCTTGGCCTTGTTGATTTCCTCCATATGGCCCTTGTGATCTCCACCCTTGATTTTGGAATTGGCGAGGTGCATTGTTGACGTAGTTGAGCGACTCCACATCTTGTTGGCATTGGAGCGTGTAATGATTTCCACCGCAAATTTCACAACATGGAGTATCAATTGCTTGGACTTGTTGTGGCGGACTTGCTTTGATGTGCTGCAGAAGGAGTTGATTTTGTTGAGCAATTTGGGTCACTTGAGCTTGAAGGGCCGTAATTGCATCTAACTCCAACACTCCGGGAATTTTCTTGGCTCCACTAACCGTCCTCTCGCTTGACTTGGCAAACCGATTTTGTGCAATTTGATCCAACATAATAAATGCATCCGGTATTGATTGACTCATGAAGTTGCCCCTGGTTGATGCATCTAAGACGGTTCGTGCATTCTCGTTAATCCCTT